AAGCATTTGGATAAAAACCATCATTAGGAGTAAGATGTGATTATTAATTAAAAGTGAAAAATAAAAATGCGTTGAAAGACTTGGGGACATAAGTGCAAACAATGTAAAAGTTTAGAACCTTCATTACAATTAAAGTGTAATGTATAACAAAAGTCGCTAGTAGTCTATGAATAAAGCTTCAAGTACAAATTTTTTTTAATAAAACGTGTAAAGATGCTGACATGGCAAAATGTGATTGGAATTTTTTTTTTTTGCCCTTTTTCACCTTCCAATGATGTAGCACCGTGTGTTGTTTATAAAGATTTTCTATCAAAACATTATGTAGTTATAGCATGATTGGTAGTCTATTGCAGTTTCGAGTCATAACCTTTTACAGGCCCACATTTCTTTATTTATGTATAGTTATTTGTCTTGGGCCTACTTTGGACCCTAATGTAAGACAAGGTTTCATGGATGAAGTTCTCTGTAGGCAGTGTTTTACTGCTTCAAGCCATCACAAGATACAGGCCCATGGGCCTTTATGGGCTATTTCTCAATCTCCGCATGATAGATAGGTAAAAACTGACAACTTGCATTATTTTTAGCTAAAATAAATATTATTACAATTTACGTCATAATGATTTAATAAAATGTATTTTCTTTCATCCTTTACTTTGGAGTCATAATAGCGATGTGAAAAGCCATTCAAACAGGGAATGACTCTGGGGTTTGGGGATAGGGAGCCCCCCTATTGGTGGAACGTCTGACGACAAACCCTGAAAAAATTTCCTATCAATCCAGCATGTCTGCAATAGCGATAGGGATGGCAGGATTGGATCCCCTAACCCAGCAAGGAGTTTTGCCCGATGGGGTTTGGGACCCACTTACTAATTTATTTAATTTTTGATATATATATTTTAAAAATATGATTAATTTAATAAATATAAAATGAGATGTAATAGTCAGGATCAAAGTTTTCACATCTTGTCACAATATAAAAATATGATTAATTCAGACATGGTATTTTCACATCTCGTAACAATTTAAAATTTTCGTTATAGTAAATTGATAATAAAAAATGACGGTGAACAAGAATCAAAGTTATTAATTAATTCATTTTTTTCAATTTCTTTTACTAATTAAAATTTTGGGTCAATCTTACTCCTTCTAAGAAAACATATAAAGGTCAATTTTGACAAAATGTATTAAATGTAATAATTTTTGAAAAAGAAAAAATAAGGAAAAAAAATGTAGTTTTATATTTAGTTAAAGTAAAAAAGGCAAAACGAAAAATTTTGGCTAGCAGGAAGATTTCTTTAAGTTTTAAAATTAAAAGGAATATATTTGAGCCAATTCAAGGAGAGTTTGTAAAAGGAAAGCAAAATGTTTCACTTTCTTTTTATTGAGAAATTTCTTCATACTAGTCGTTGACACCTACATTGCACGAGTTTTGTATTTATTATATTTTTATTAGCGTTCAAATTGTAAATTTTTCAAAATTGATTGAAGATTCGAAGTATTTGATGAAATCTAATCGTTTGGTTCATTATATTAGCGCATGATGCATAGAGATTTCTTTTTCATTTTTTCTGCATTTATTTATTTTTTATTTGTTTTATTCATATTATAAATATTTTTTTCGATTTAAAATACTTTTTAATTCTTTTTTCTTTATGAAAAACTTAATTTTTTCAATTTTAATTAAAAAATATTTATACTGTAAAAAAACTGCAACATGCAATTTTCATACCTACCAAAAAATTTAAAAATAAAGATAGTATAAGACAGAAATTATTTTATAAAAAGTTACTTGTAAGTAAAAAATTTGAAGAGAAAAGAATTTAAAAGGATTTTAAATTGAAAAAAAAAATTATTTGTAACGTAAAACTACGATACTGATTTCTCTCGGCACGATATTCATATGTATTTATATTTTGTACTTCATATATATTTAATATTTATTTTATGCTTATGTTGAAAAAATAAAAATTTGAAATTTTTTTTTGAAATTTGGTTTGGTAAGTGAATGTAGGGCGTTCTGTATTCTCGGTATTTGTAAGTGCAAAAATCTATATATAAAAATAAAACAAGTTGCAGATACGGTAGGCAACATATACAGTAAGGTACAAATACGGTAAGTTGTTTGCAAATACGGTAGGCAACATATACGATTACCTGTCTGCAAATATGGTAAGATGTATATATGGATTTATAATTTGTTATAAATGTATAAAATTTATTTAATATTGAATTTCTTAAATATTAAATGTTGTAATTCAATATTGTTTCTTTTTTTTTTATAATTGTATATCCGAAAATTAAAAAAAAAAATTGATTATGAAATAGCTAATTTTTAAATGTGTTTTTTGTTGAAAATAAAAATGACTTTTTTATATTATTTGTAAAAATAAAAAAAAATATATTGTAATTTTATTAACGTAATAAGAAGATTTATTATGTATTTTTATTTTTTGCATTTTGTAAAGAATTTTATTTATGATGATTGACAAATATTCTTCCACATACACATCACGCCAGTAATATTAAAAAAATAATAATAATTTTAGAATATATATTAAAAAATACATATATATATTATGGAGGAAAGCTTCCACAATACGGAGGCTTTATGGAAATAGCTCAAGCATGAGCCTCCGTCCATAATAACAGAGGCTCATGTGTGCTTGAGCCTACGTAATTATGGATGTTCCAACGTGCATTTTTTTGCTTTCTTTTTCTTTCATTGACTCTCAGTACAATAATTTAATTTCATTTAATCAACTTAATTTTTTTAATATTCTTAAAATAAAAATACATAAAATAATGGAGGCTTACTCTTTCTCCACACTATCTCTTTCACCATTTTCTCACGATATCAACCATGTGTCTTTAGAAAGTTTATTTTTTAGCACATAAATAAGTTTAAATAAAAATATTATTTTTATATATGTACATAAAAGGTATATAGTAACCATTTGGATGACCAAAAAATAATATTAATCAAAATGTTTACGAACTGTTTAAATAATAATTTATTGAGGGGGTTAATTCAAGAGCAAAAGTGTGAATTCCATAAATATATGATTGAAAATATGTTTGAAGAAAAATAAATTTTAAAAAATGAAGACCAAACAAGTTAACAAATGAATAAATTTATTTTTCGAGAAATGAATTTTTATTACCATTTCATTTTTATCATAAAATGATTCTAATCTTCATATGTTAAATTGTGTTTTAAAATTACATAATCTATCAAATATATTTTTTAAAATTAATTTTTATAAAGTAATATGCTTTTATGATTTTTTTATGGAAGATATAATATAATAGTACTAGAAATTATAAAATAATTAAAATTTTATTAATTTTATAATATAATATGTTACGGAAGCTCAAGCATGAGCCTCCATTATTACTTTACTTAAAAAAAAAAATCATAAAAACATATTATTTTATGAAAATTAATTTTAAAAATTATATTTGATAAAAGAAAAATAATAATTTTAGTGTGTGCATATATATATATATTATGCAGGCAAGGCCTCCATATAATATGGAGGCCTCCATAATAACGGAGGCTCATGTGTGCTTGAGCTTCCATAATTACGGAGGCTCCAACGTGCATTTTTTTACATTTTTTTCTTCATTGACTCTTAGTAAAATAATTTAATTTTAATTAATCAACTTAATTTTTTTAATATTCTTAAAATAAAAATATATAAAATAATGGAGGCTTACTCTTTCTCCATTTTTACACACTACAATTATGCTTCTCTATTTCTCCACACTATTTCTTTTACCATTTTTTCACGCTATCAACCATGTATCTTCAGAAAACTTATTTTTTAGCACATAAGTAAGTTTAAATAAAAATATTATTTTTATATATGTACATAAAATGTATAGAGTGACCATTTGGATGACAAAAAAAAACATCAATCAAAATTTTTACGAACCGTTTAAATAATAATTTATTGAGAGGGTTAATTCAAGAGTAAAAGTGTGAATTCCATAAATATATGATTGAAAATATGTTTGAAGAAAAATAAAATTTAAAAAATGAAA